CCTTGCTCTTCCAACAGCACTGTGTGCCGCTTCAGCCTCTGTCCACGGACCTCCTCGCTCGGGCTCCAGAAGAGCTCGCTGCTTCCGCTGCCTTCCTCCTTGATAAACACATCTCCGTCCTGCCCGGGATGGCCAGGTGGGGTCAGAGCGGCCGCCTGCGCAGAGGCCGCCCTGGGCCCGGCGAGGCTGGCCGAGGAGCGCGTCCTTACCCAGTGTCCGGTGAGCCGCGCCAGGACCTCCTCTCCCAACGTCACTGTGCCCGACACCTGGTTGATGCTGGCACTACCTCCAAAGAAAGGCTGCAGGACAGACCCAGGACAGACAGACGCCAGCTGAGACAGCAGGGGGAGGCTCCATCCCGGGGCTCAGAGTGGTCACTGTCCCTGCCACGGCTGGGACGAGGCTGCTTCACCCCAGGGCCCAGTGCTCACGGTGGCAGTGGCCCGGCTATGCCTGTCCTGGCTTTGCTGTGCGACCTGACGGCAGCCCTTGCCCTCTCTCAGTCCTTGGGGTGTGAAGTGCCGCCATGTCTCCAGGGCACACAGGACCCCCAAGGCCTCGCTCCTCCGCGGGAGCCCGGCCTGCCCGCGCAGCTGCACCTGTACCTTGAGCTTGAACTCCAGCTCGGCTTGGAGGTGGTTCTTCTCACACGTGATGCTCACTTTCCCCCCCAGCTCCAGAGACATGGTTCCATACAGGATCCCTGAAAAGCGCCGGGGTAGTGGGTGAGGCCTGGCTGTACTGAGCCCGAGGGGGAGGGGACACCGCCAGGGGCAGAGCTCCTCTGAGGAGCCGGGCAGGCCTGTCCCTGACTGACATCCCTGGGGAGGGGCCCTGGTCCTCCCTCGGTTTTGCTCAGGGCCAGGAGCTCCCACAAGCCTCGCTGGGCCAGGTCCTCCAGGAAGCTCAGGCCACACTCCCCTGAGACTCTCACAGCATCTGTCACAGGCACGTGCCGCCGTGCCCAGGCCCTCTCCTCAGGCCAGGCATCCTCTGCCCCGGATGGGTCCCAGGATGGTGCCCAGCACACTGAACACTCAATGCAGCTTTCTGTCCAGGAGTGAAGGGGCAGGAGTCTTCCCACTCTGGCCACAGTGAAAGCCCCTCCCCCCACCCACAGCAAGGCAGTGCTAGGAGGAAAACTTGCAGCTTCAGAGTTGACAAAGACTGAGTTATTGGTGCACCTCACGTTTCTACTAGAACTGTGAAGAAGCCAAGCCCCAAGTTAGCAGATGAAGAGAAATTGCCAAGATTACGGCAGAAAGGAATGAAACAGAGACTAGAAAACAAAGTGATACAGGGCTGGGAAGGTGGCTCAGTGGTAGAGTGTTTGCTTGCATGGATGAGGCCCTGGGTTCAATTCCTCAGCACCACATAAGCAGAAAAAGCCAGAAGTGGCGCTATGGCTCAAGTGGTAGAGTGCTAGCCTTGAGCTGAAGAGCTGAGGGACAGTGCCCAGGCCCAGAGTTCAGGCCCCATGACTGACAAAAAAAAAAGATACAAAGAATCAATAAAAATTGTATTTTTAAAATCAAGATGAATAAACCTCTAGCTAATTGACCAAAAAGAAGTGAAGAGACTAAAATTAATGAAATTAGAGATGAAAAGTGAGTATCACAACAAATACCAAAGAAATCCAAAGAATCATGAAGGAATACTTCAAAAAACTACACTCAAAGAAATTGGAAAATCCAGAACAAATTTCATTCACATGCTCGGCCTACCAAAGCTGAATCAGGAGGAGATGAACCACGAACAACAGATCTATAAGAAGCAATGAGGCCGAAGCAGAAGAAAGACTTGCCCAACAAAGAGAAGTGGACTGGATGGCTTTAGTGCCAAATTCTATCAGACCTTCAAGAAGAGCTAACACCAGCACTCCTCCGACTCTTCCGTGAAGCCAGTGTTACACTCGTGCCAACACTGGTCAGAGACGAGAACAGAGAACTGTAGACCAATCTCACTGATGAACATGCATGCAGAAATTCTCCTCGGAAACTCTTCCAAGCCGGGCACTGGTGGCTCATGTAATTCTAGCTACTGACATGTGAGGATCACAGTTCAAAGCCAGATGAGGCAGGAAAGCACATGAGACTCTTTTTTGTTGTTGTTGTTTGCTTTTTTTTGTCGGTCGGGGGGTTTGAACTCTGGGCTTGGGCGCTGTCCCTGTACTCTTCGGCTCTAGGAGAGCACTCTGCCGCTTGAGCCACAGCACCACTTCCGGTTTTCTAGTGGTTTATTGGAGATAAGAGTCTCACGAACTTTCCTGCCTGGGCTGGCTTTGAACCGCAATCCTCAGATTTCAGCCTCCTAAGTAGCCCGGTGCCCAGCTTGCCCATGAGACTCTTATCTCCAGTTAACCACCAGAAGACTGGAAGTGGTGCTGTGGCTCAAATGGTAGAGCACTAGACTTGAGCGAAAAAGCTCAGAGACACCACCCAGGCCCTGAGTTCAAGCCCCATAACCAACAAACAAGCAAAAATTCTTCCAAACTGAATCCAACAATTCAAGACACATTAAGTCCCAACGTCATTCTTCACAAAAATAGAAAAATCAATCAAAAAATTCACGTGAAGCATGAAAGACTATCAATAGCAAAAGCCATCTAGAGTAAAAAGAGCAGTGCTGGAAGCTATCATGATACTAGACTTCAAGTTATATTACACGGCCAAAATAATCTTGGTACTGGCACAAAAGTAGATATGAAGAGAATAGAAGATCTGGATATATAAACCACACAGCTGTGATTTTTATTTCTTTATTCCAGAAGCAAAACCACTCAGTGGAGAAAGGGCAGACTCTACATGGACTGGTGCACCAGAGATGATCATCCACCTGCAGGAACCTCAACCTTGACTCCCATCTCTTACTGTGTGCCTAAATCAGCTCCAGTTAGATCAAAAAAGTAAGATCTGGCCAGTCACCGGAGGCTGAGATCTGAGAATTGCAATTTGAAGCCAGTCCAGACAGGAAAGTCTGTGAGACTCATCTCCAATAAACTACTCAGAAAAAGCCAGAAGTGGCACTGTGGCTCAGGCGGAGGAGCAGTGAGAAAAAGAATCTCAGGGACAGTACCCAAGTCCTGAGTTCAAACCCCAGGGCTGGCACACAACATGCAAAAAATCTGAAACTTCAGATCTACTACAGGAAAACGTGGGGAAAATGCTGGAAGATACAGGTAAAAGGAATTATTTTCTGAATTGGATTCCTATTGCCCAGTAAATAAGAACAAGGATGGACAGATAGGACATCAAGTTTAAAAGCTGCTGACAAGCAAAAAAAAAGAGAAGAAGAAAAAAAAAACCCACAAAGCCCGGTGCTGGTGGCTCACGCCTGTAATCCTAGCTACTCAGGAGGCTGAGATCTGAGGATCCGGTTCAAAGCCAGCCCGGGCAAGAGAGACCGTGAGACTCCTATCTCCAATAAACCACCAGAAAACCAGAAGTGGCGCTGTAGCTCAAGTGGTAGAGTGCTCGCCTTGAGCTGAAGAGCTGAGGGTCAGCGCCCAGGCCCAGAGTTCAAGCCCCACGACCGACAAAAAAAAAAAAAAGAAAAAACCCACAAAAAAATGATTAGAGCCAGGAGACAACCCACAGAATGGGAAGAGCAATCTACCAGGTATGCAGCAAAATGATATCCAGAAAACACAAAGAACTAAAAACAAAACAACAAAAGAACAATCACTAATAATAGATGGGCAAGTGAATGCAAACAGGCATCTCACAGAAGCAGACATACAAATGGCTGGTAAGTGACAAGATGCTCAACTTCCTCACAAGAAAAGAAACGCAAATCGAAACCACACTAAATTCCATCTGACCCAGGTGGACTAGCAGCCACGAAGAGCAAAACCACAGCGATGTCTGCTGGTGAGGATGTGGGGAAAGGGATCTCTCACAGGGTTGGTGGAAGTTGGTGTGGAAGCTGTCAAGAAAACAATCTCACAAAATGGCACGCATCTTCTCCCCTGCCCTGCGTGGAAGCCAGATCTAAAACACGCGATACCGGTGTGGGACCCTAGGGGTCCGCCGCACACAGACTGAAGGAGGTACTCTGTGGGGCAACTCTTTTGAACATCTGAAATACTATGTATCAAAAGGGAAGCATGCATTTTTTTGTTGTTGTTTTGCTTTTGGATTTGTCTCTTTGAGGGGGTAAAAGGGGAACACAGAAATGGAGGCAGGAAGGATGAACAAATGCAGGTGTGGCATGCAGTAGACACTATGTGGAAAGCGAAAAATGTGCCCACAAGCAACTTGTAGGCAGGGATGGGACAGGGAGACGGGAAAGCAAAGGGAAGGGCGTGTCCACAAAGAACCACACTCATTACCTGACTTATTCAATGGTGACGCCTCTATACATTCAGTAATAAAAATAAAATTACATTTTTAAAAATAAGCCGGGTGCCAGTGGCTCACGCCGGTACTCAGGAGGCTGAGATGGGAGGATCTTAGTTCAAAGCCAGCCCAGGCAGGAAAGTCCGTGAGACTCTTATCTCCAATAAACCACTAGAAAAACTGAAAGTGGTGCTGTGGCTCAAGTGGTAGAGCTCTCACCTTGAGCTGAAGAGCACAGGGACAGCGGTCAGGCCCTGAAGTTCAAGCCCCATAACCGACAAAAATAAGTAAGTAAAATAAAATAAAATAATTATTCTTTTTTTTTTTTGCCAGTGCTGGGGCTTGAACTCAGGCGTTGACACTGTCCTTGACCTTCTTTTGCTCAAGGCTGACACTCTACCACTTGAGCCACAGTGCCACTTCTAGCCTTTTCTGTTTATGTGGTACTGAGGAATTGAACCCAGGGCTTCATGCATGCTAGACCAGCACTCTACCACTGAGCCACCTTCCCAGCCCTAAAATTATTACTCTTGCCAGGCACAGGTGGCTCATGCCTGTAGTCCTAGCTACTCAGGAGGCTGAGATCTGAGGATCATGGTTCAAAGCCAGCCCGGGCAGGAAAGTCCATGAGACTTTTTTTTTTTTTTAATTGGTCATGGGTCTTGAACTCTGGGCTTAGGCACTGTCCCTGCACTCTTCAGCTCAAGGCAAGAGCTCTACCACTTGAGCCACAGCACCACTTCCAGTTTTCTGGTGGTTTATTGGAGATATGAGTTTCATGGACTTTCCTGCCCGGGCTGGCTTTGAACCCCGATCCTCAGATCTCAGCCTCCTGAATAAGCTAGGATTACAGGCGTGAGCCACCGGCTGTCCATGAGACTCTTATCTCCAATAAATCTCTAGAAAACTGGAAGTGGCTCTGTGGCTCAAGTGGTAGAGCGCTAACCTTGAGCTGAAGAGCTGAGGGACTGCGCCCTGGCCCAGAGTTCAAGCCCCATGACCGACAAAAAAAAAAAAAGGAAAAAAGAGATCATTACTCTTTTTAAAAAGTCTAATTAAAAAGTAACCCTGGACAAAGCCGTGAGAACACAGAGCACCAAAGACAGAGACCTGAGGAGGATCTCCTGGGGCAGTGGGGCCAGCCACGGGGCAGCGCTGACCATCTACCACCCTGGCAGCCACATACACAATGCCCTCAAAAGGAAGAAAGTCAACACTCAGCCTGATGAGCCAAGGTGCAATATGAATTTTTTTGTTTGTCTGCTTGCACTGGTCCTGGGCTCGAACTCAGGGCCTGGACACTCTAAGCTCTCATGCTCAAGGCTAGAGTTCTACTACTTCTGGCTTTTAGTGATTAACTGGAGGTAAGCATTTCACTTACTTTCCTGCCTAGGCTGACTCTAGGCTGCGATCCTCAGATCTCAGCCTCCTGAGTAGCTAGGATTAGAGTCGTGAGCCACTGATGCCTACCTTTTGTTGTGCCTGTACTGGGGCTTGAACTCAGGGCCTGGATGCTGTCCCTTAGCTTTTTCACTCAAGGCTGGCACTCTATCCCTTGAGCCACAGCTCCACTCTGGCCTTTGCTGGTTAATGGGAGATAAGAATCTCAGAGACTTTCCTGCTTGGGTTGGCTTCTCACTATGATCCTCAGATCTCAGTCTTCTGAGGATTATAGGGGTGAGCACCTAGCACCCAGCAAAATATGGGCATCTTTAAACCAAAAGATACCAAAGTGTCTGCCGTGACAGCCCTGTAGAGGGCGAGTCTGGGCCCCCCTCTCACCTCTGCAGTGGGCATAGGGCATGGTGAGGGTGTACTCCTCCCCGCGCTGCAGCAACGTGAGCGTGGCCTTGCCGTCCAGGAGGGCTGACAGGGAGTTCCCTGCAGAGGTGGGGCGAGACGGGGGAGGACTGGTGAGTGCAGACAGCTCCTGGCACACAGCCAGCCGCCAGCCCCAGCCGGAGTTCCCAGCACCTCCTGAGGGGCAGCTCTGAGTCTCACATTCCACAAAAGAAAGCCCTGTCCAGAGGGCGCCCAGCCTCCATCCTCAGAAGGGATTTAGCCTGCTGCAGGATAATGGCGTGTTTAACTTACTCAAACCAGGGGCCACAAGTGGAGGCCCCTTCATGGATAGTGTGTGTGTGTGTGTGTGTGTGTGTGTGTGTGTGAGTGTGTGTGTGTGTGCGCTGTCACTGGGGCTTGAACTCAGGGCCTTTAGTGGTTTTACTCAAGGTTGGCACTCTACTACTTGAGCTGCAGTCAATTGGAGATAGTTCTCCTGGGTGCTCCTGCCTGGGCTGGCTTCAGTTGTCCAGTCGCAGCCTCCTTGAGTAACTAGGATTACAGGCGAGAGCCGCTGGCACTAAGTGGGTCTACTGATTTATTTGCTTGGATTTACACATGCTTGTAGGGCTGGAGATGGAAGTCATGGCCCCTGTGGTGCTAGATAAGCACTTTACCTCCGAGCACCAGTCCGGGCCCCCTCTAAACCTATACAAGTGGCTGGCAGCTGTGGCTGGACGGCCTGGCTCTGGATTGCGTCCTTGTAAGGTTCTCCTCCCCCACACTCCTCATGGGTTCTCTGCAGTCCTGAGCTGAGGGTGATGAGATCCAGATGCAGGATCTGAGTGCGTTCACTGCGCATCTCCCCCACCCCCCATAAGGGACAGGGGTGGCATTCAGGGCATCTCTGAGGTGCTGGAGCCTGGACCTCCCCTCACTTCTCTGAGACCCAGGAAGCACGGAGGGCCCCCCTCCTCACCGTAGAACCTCGACTTGGCTGTGATGCTGCCGCTGATGCAGAACCCATCCTTCCGGTTGCTGACATGGAAGGCGGACACAGGCGGGTGGTGGGACACCTAGGAGTAGAGAAGGCTCTGGAGATGGCCCTGGGAGAGCAGAAGCACGCTCCCCTCCCCTCCCCCAGGGGCAGGTGTGAGGGCATTGGCAGGGGACCTCAGGGAAAGGGGCCTGAAGCAGACTCGAATCCCGCAGCACCGCTGCGTGTCCCCCTGGGAAAGGCGACCCACTGCCTCCCCCATCGGGTGACACTTTGTGCTTTCATGGCTGGCAGTGTCTGCGCCTTCCGGGACAATATCCCTGGGAGTGGCTGGCAGGCAGGCTGCCCTCGGGGTCAGACCAGCCCCGCTATGGCCAGGAAGCCCACCCAAGCTGGAAGGGAGAGGTGGCCCACGGCCCGCAGGGCAGGTGTCTTGCCTGCTCTGCTATGTAGAAGGTGTGGCTGTTGGTCTCTGGGTGGCGCCAGCAGCAGCGGAAGGTCTCCCCCAAGATGGGGTTGTAGGGCTTCTTGATCCCCTGCCGGGAAGCACGGAGCCAGTAAAGAGCCAGGCTGGGCCGGGCACGGTGGGCATGGTGGGCGCTGGCATCGCTGGGAGGCGTCTGCTGGGCTGCCAGCGTCTAGCCACAGCCCCACCACCAGAGTGGCCTGCTGGGAGCCCCATGCCAGGACTCCATGAGCAAAGCACTGTAAAACCCTGCAGCCAGCGGCCCCCGAGGCCCCGCCCTCTTTCCTGCCTGTCGCAGCCTGAGGCTGTTTTCCTAGGACTGGACCACGCGGGTCCTCTAGGAGCTAGGAACCACCCAGCATCACCTGGCATTCCTAGGGTTCCTCCACAGGAAGCCAGGACCCGCCTTAGTCTCTGAGGACCCCGGCCACAGGGGGGAGGCCAGGACCTTTCAGAATTGTATGGTGGCTCAGGGGACGGGGCTGCGTGGGCAGGGGCAATGGGGGGACGGGGCTTCATGGGCAGAGGGGATGGGGGATGGGGCTGCATGGGCAGGGATGGCGGGGGGACGGGGCTGCATGGGCAGAGGGGATGGGGGATGGGGCTGCATGGGCAGGGATGGCGGAGGACGGGGCTGCATGGGCAGGGGTGCCCGGGGGATGGGGCTGCATGGGCAGGGGTGGCGGGGGACAGGGCCACGTGGACGGGGCTGCGTGGTCAGGGATGGCAGGGGACGGGGCTGCGTGGTCAGGGATGGCAGGGGACGGGGCTGCGTGGGCAGGGATGGCGGGGGACGGGGCTGCGTGGGCAGGGGTGCCCGGGGGATGGGGCTGTGTGGGCAGGGGTGCCCGGGGGATGGGGCTGCGTGGTCAGGGATGGCGGGGGACGGGGCTGCGTGGGCAGGGGTGGCGGGGGACGGGGCTGCGTGGGCAGGGATGGCGGGGGACGGGGCTGCGTGGGCAGGGGTGCCCGGGGGATGGGGCTGTGTGGGCAGGGGTGACCGGGGGATGGGGCTGCGTGGTCAGGGATGGCGGGGGACGGGGCTGCGTGGGCAGGGGTGACCGGGGGACAGGGCTGCGTGGGCAGGGGTGGCGGGGGGACGGGGCTGCGTGAGCAGGGGTGCCCGGGGGACGGGGCTGCATGGGCAGGGGTGGCGGGGGACGGGGCTGCATGGGCAGGGGTGGCGGAGGAAGGGGCCGTGTGGGCAAGGGTGCCCGGGGGATGGGGCTGCATGGGCAGGGGTGCCCAGGGGACGGGGCTGTGTGGGCAGGGTGGCAGGGGGACGGGGCTGTGTGGGCAGGGGTGGCGGGGGGGGATGGGGCTGTGTGGGCAGGGGTGCCCGGGGGACGGGGCTGTGTGGGCAGGGTGGCGGGGGGACGGGGCTGCGTGGGCAGGGTGGCGGGGGGACGGGGCTGTGTGGGCAGGCTGCTGCAGTCCCTCCGTGCTGGGCTTCCTCACCTTGGGCTTCTTATAGAAGCCAGACAAGTACCATCTCAGCACGAGCTTCATGCGGCGGTAGGGGTCTTCCTCCGTGGCTGCCCTGCAGCAGGGTCGGGGCGTTGGCTCCGGGCTGGGGTCCCCTCCATCTTCCCACCCCAGTCCTTCCTTACCACGGGATCTCCCTCTGCTCCACCCACCCTGGCCAGGACGATCCGGAGCCGCTGCCCCCGACCAGCCAGGAAGCCCTGAAGCAGGCGCGTTCTCAGCCCCTCTCCTGGAGGGGCCACACCACAGGAAGTGGGTTCTCTACCTAACCAGACCGCAGCGGGGCTGCCCACCTCCAGGAAGTGCTCTGGGTGCACTGCCCTGGCCCACTTCCCCTGCCGGCCCGTGTGTGTGCCGCCCGCCCGCCAGCCCGCCCGCCGGGCACCTGGAGAGCAGGTCTGCGTGGTAGTAGTAGTCAGAGAGCTTGTTGAGGAAGGAGCGTGGCTCCAGCACAAACGTGGGCAGCACCACGCGCGACAGGTCCATGCCAGGCCGCAGCTGGCGCAGCAGCACCCACATCAGGTTCTTGTTTTCCTCTGACACTGTCTCCACCTGAGATGCCTCTCCTAGCTGCGGCAGAGGGTCCCCGTCAGGCCCCGGGAGCAGCGTAGGGCCCTGCCAGTGCCTGGAACTGCTGGAGGGTGGTGGGGAAGGGGGCACAGTGTCCCCAGAAGGAGACGCAGGAGGTGGGGTGGCATCCCCTGCCCCCCTTCTGTGGCCCCTAAGCCGGCTCTGCAGCCTCAAGAGCCTGACTTGGCTGTGTCGGAATCCTACCCTGCCCAGCATGATGCCACCAGCCCTGTCCTGCCTACGAATGCCCTCCTTGGTCCCTTGACTCTGGATCCTTCCGTTCCAGCAGGCCAGCCTGGGCCCTCCTTGCCCCCACCCCCCACCCCTGTCCCAAGTCCACATGTGGCCTGACTGGTCCTGGCCAGTGGGGCCTGTCTGTAGACTTCAGTGCCAGCCTCGAGGCCTGGAGCAGGTGGGCATTTGGACCTGCTGATCTTCCCATTTGTTAGTGGGTGAGGCAGCTGCTTAGAACTTGCTGCTCCAGGGCTGGGAAGGTGGCTCAGGGGTAGAGTGCTCGCCTCGCATGCACCACACAAGCAGAAAAAGCCAGAAGTGGCGCTGTGGCTCAAGCAGTAGGGCGCTCGCCTTGAGCTGAAGAGGCTGAGGAACAGCGCCCAGGCTGAGTTCAAGCCCCACAACCAACCAAAACACACACATACACACACACACACCACCACCACCACCACCACCAACAACAACAACTTGCTGCTCCATTGAAAAACAGAGAAACAAAAATCAAAAAGAAAAACACTATTACTGGTGTCCATGGCACATGACTGTAATCTCAGCTACTTAGGAGGCAGGGATCTGGGCATCAAGGTTCAAAGCCAGCCTGGGCAGAAAAGCCCAGGAGACTCTCATCTCCAATTAACTAGCAAGAAGCCAGAAATGGAGCTGGGGCTCAAGGGGTTAAGTGCTGGCCTTGAGCAAAAATGTCAGGTAAGAAAGAGTTTAGAGCTCTGGGCTGGGAATGTGGCTCAGCGGTAGAGTGCTGGCTTAGCATGCATGAAGCCCTGGGTTCGATTCCTCAGTACCACATAAGCAGAAAAAGCCCGAAGTGGCACTGTGGCTCAAGTGGTAGAGCGCTAGCCCTGAGCAAAAGAAGTTCAGTGCCCAAGCTCTGAGTTCAAGTCCCAGAACTGGCAAAAAAGAAAAAAAAAAGGAGTTAAGAGCCCTAAGTTCAAGCCTCAGCACTGGCACAAAAGTAGAATCTTAAAATTGTTTTGTCTCTGGATGTGGTAGGGCATGCCCTGACCCCAGCTACCCGAAGGTAGAGGTAGGAGGATCCCTGCAGGAGGTGGGTTTGGAGCAAAAGCTAGAGATCCTACCTAAAATAGACAAATAAAGCCAGAGTTTAAGGTCCTGAGTTCAATTCTCAGTACTGCCTTCCCCCTCAGGAATCTGGACTAAGTCTGGTGTAAGGAAAGCCATGTGCATGGCAGACACCGTCCCACCCCTGCAAAGGCCATGACCCATGTGTTTGTGTCACAGGGCAAGAAGTGACACAAACTGGGGCCTCTAGCCTCAGGCTCTTGCTGCCTTCTACAGGGTTCCAAATGCCCCAAACCCACTGAGTCCCTACTGCACCCAGCAGCAGCTTTCTCCTAGTGTTCCTCCCACCGCAGCCCCACCTTCTGGCCAGAACCTGGCCAATACAGGTCCGGCCCCACCCTAAGCCCGCCCCCTTCCTCTAACCAATCCATGCCAGCCTTATCCTGAGCCCGCCCCCTTCCTCTAACCAACCCATGCCAGCCTTATCCTGAGCCCGCCCCCTTCCTCTAACCAATCCATGCCAGCCTTATCCTGAGCCCGCCCCCTTCCTCTAACCAATCCATGCCAGCTCCGTCTTGAGGAGGGCCCTTCCTCTGACCAATCCATGCCAGCCCCATCCTGAGCCGGCCCCTTTCCCTGACCAATCCATGCCAGCCCCATCCTGAGCCTGCCCCTTTCCCTGACCAATCCATGCCAGCCCCACCTCAGTCCTGCACCTTCCCCTAGCCAATCCACATTCAGCCACGCCCTGAGCCAATCTATGCCAGCCTGGCCCAGAGTCCCCCATTCCCCTGCTCTACCACACCTTGGCAGCTCCCTACCAGGGCTGGCCCAGGCCGGGCCTGCGCCCCCTCCGCCTCCCCTCCCCTGTCGGGGGTCATGCGTGGACCTCACTCTGCAGGCTGCGCACAGGGCTGCTCTGGTGGGGACAGGGCATGTCGCCCTGTGGTGTGGGGCCTGGGTCACTGGTTTATGAGTGAGCAGGCTCTTGACTGACAGGTGATCTCTCCCTCCCATTCACATGTTCAGCCAGGATGTCCTGTGACACGTGACACCTTCAAGGAACATCCCCAGAGGCCAAACACCGGACTGCCTGATCATGAACTTCTAGCTTTCAAACCTGGGAGCTGAATAAACTTCTCTTCTCTGTAAAGAACCCCCTGTCATGTTCTTTGTCATAACAATGGAAAATGGAATAAAATGCCATAATAAGAGACCCTAAGAACACAAACCCCCTTTTCTGTCACTCCAGGGGCTGCACAGCCTGTGGAGCTGTTGCTGCCTCCTTTCCACCATCACACCAGAGTGGCTGATTAACTAGAGCCCAGGCTTCACAGCACCCCGAGGGCAAGGCAGCTTACTCCTCCACCTCTCCTAGCTAGTTAAGGACTGGTGCACCCTTCCTTCCTTCCTCTCTCCCTCCCCCTCCCTTCCTTTCTTTTCTTGTGCTAGTCCTGGGGCTAGAACTCAGGGCTCTAACTGAAGCCACAGCTCCACTGCAGCTTTTTTTGGTGAATGGTTGGAGATAAGAGTCTCCCTGACATTCCAGCCTGGGCTGGTTTTGAACCACAATCCTCAGATCTCAGCCTCCTGAGTAGCTCAGATTACAGGTGTGAGCCACAGGTGCCTGGCTTCTGCATCTCTTCATAAGATGCATGCAGTGTCCGCAGGGTCTCCCGGCAGCCACTCAGCCTGGCTCTGTCCTCTACCACAGTGTCCTCTTGGCCGCACTGACTTCTGCCCCTGTCTTTTAGGCTCAGGCATGAATGGTCTCTGTTCCCAGAGTACCATGTTCCCTGTCATTCAAAGACACCCTGACCACCCACGCAAGGCACCCCAGCAGCCTGCCATAAACCCTGTCCCCATGGACCTGGCTCCTGGGCTCCCTGAATCCTTTGAGTGAGTGAAGTCAGCTTTCCACTACCATGTCAAATATCAGAGATAATCAACTTATGAAGAGATGAGAGTTAGGAGTTGCAGCCTGTGATCGTTTGGGCTCTGTTGCTTTTGGACCGTTGGCAAGGCAGCACATGGTAGCCGGAGCATGTGGTTGGGAAAGCCATTCATGGACGGGAGGCAAGAGATGGGAAGAAGCCAGCCTTCCACAGTCCCCTTTGAAGCCACACCCCCAATGACCTAACTTTCTCCCCCGAGGCTCTAGCTCCTAAAGGCATCACAGCTCCTTCCTAACACCGTGCTGGGGAACAGCCTTTGACTCAGCTACAGCCTGATGGTGAGGGGTGCTCACCCACCAGACAGTGCTGTCCACTCGCTGAAACAGGGCAGAGACCCCATGTGCATTCCCCAGCACCCACCGACCTGCCCCTCACCTCTCCTAGCTCCTCCTGAGCCTGCTCCACGTACGTGGTCCCCCTTGGCAGCGCCCCGGGACTCTCCACCTTGTCGCTTCCACTCTCGTTGGTCTTCTGGCTGTGGTCCTGCGTCTCTGTGTCCGAGTCATCTGCATTCTCTCGCTCAGACTTGTCTGAGAACGCATCGTTGTCCAGGTGGTTCTCCAGGGAAGATCCGTGCAGGCTGGAAGGTGGAGGGGACTGTGGGTGTCCAGTCACTGGGGAGTCTGGACCCTCACTGTGGGCTTCACACACTGTCCTGTGGCTAACAGCCCACAGTGGCAGCATCTGGAGCGACTGCCTCCAGTCTCTGCGGGAGCAAGCAGGGCCCGCAGCAGAGGGACAAGTCGGTAGCCTCCAGGGGCTGTGAATCCGCAGTGGCCGGCTCCCTCCACCTCCCGCCTACAGCGACAGCTTGGGCTGACCATCGCCTGCCTGCCCAGCCACTCACGGGGACAGGTCCTGATCTGGGGGGAGGGCGGCGGAGGCGGGCAGCCCGCAGAGGGAGGAGGGCGACCCATCGGGCGACGACCCCGGCTCCCCGTCGCGGCCCTGCTCGCAGGGGCTCAGTCGAGGCAGGCTGGAGCAGCGCAGGGCCAGCTCCAGGGCGTCCAGCCAGCAGCGACCTGGAGAGGGGCCGGACAACAGCGTGGGCCTTCCTCCCCAAACCCTGTCCTCGCCACGGACCCCACCCTTCAGCAGAGCCCACCCTGCTGGCCACCCCTCACCCCACCCCACCGGGGTCCCTGGGGATGCTTCATGTGCACACGCGTGTGCGTTTGCGTGTGGGTGTGAGTGTGGGGGAGCATGGGGCAGACGTCGGGACCCTCGAGTGTCCGTGGACTCCTGGAGCAGGCTCAGGCAGCTTTCCGGAGCCTCACAAGACATGGCACCGACAGCCCAGGCTAAGGGCGGGACAGTAAGAGAGCCCCAGGTCACACACTCAGAGCTCACCCTCCACCTGTGGCCGGCCTGCAGATTCCTCCTGCAGAGGGGAGAGGCAGGGTGGGGTGCCAGGGCCCCTGCTTGGCACTCACCATCAGACTCAGAGGCGGCCCTGAAGATCAGGTAGCTGCTGGGCAGGGGCTGGGTGATGGAGCCCACACTCTCACCTTTGGGGCCCTGGAGAGGCAGAGACCCGCTGGGGTCAGGCGCCCACCGGGGTCAGGCGTCCGCCAGGCAGGCCCGGAGGGCAGCAAGAGGGCCGGGCGGAGGCTGTGCCGGGCGGGGCTTCATCAGCAGATGGAGTCCAGGGTGCCAGGTTCTCCCGGTGTCAGGGACGCGCAGGGCGTTTGGGCGAGTGCATGGTCTGGTGTCTGCTGAGTCACACGAGACAGCAGTGCCGTAGCCTACACTAGGTTTTGGCATGGGGGTGATTTCACTGTCTGGGGGCTGACACCAGCGTTCCGTGCGTGTCAGAGGTCAAGGAGGTCGAGCTGGGAGGCCCCGCAGGGCAGGCATGTGAGATGCATGTTCTGTTTGGTATTTGCAACTTACAGTGGGCTTATTCGAATGGGATCTTTTTTGTGTGTGTATGTGTCAGTCATGGGGCCTGAACTCTGGGCCTGGGCGCTGTCCCTCAGCTCTTCAGCTCAAGGCTAGCGCTCTACCACTTGAGCCACAGCGCCACTTCCAGCTTTTTTCTTTTTGCTTATGTGGTGCTGAGGAATTGAACCCAGGGCCTCAGGCATGCAAGGCGAGCGCTCTACCACTGAGCCACCTTCCCAGCCCCATCGAATGGGATCTTAATCATCAGCAAGGGAAGGCCTTTGTAACAAATGCCGTCTGGCAGGGCACCAGTGGCTCATGCCTGTAATCCTAGCTAGTCAGGAGGTTGAGATCTGAGGATCGCAGTGAAGCCATCCTGGGCAGTGAAGTCTGTAAGTCTTACCTCTACTAAACTACCACAACAAGCCTGAACTGGAGCTGTGGCTTCAGTGGTCTACAGCATCAACCATGAGCAAAAGCTCAAGGGCAGGGCCCAGGCCCTGAGTTCAAGCCCCAGGACCAGCACAACAAAGAAACCGCCAAACCTGGTCACTGGTGTGAGATGTGGAATCTCCCTGAGCTGTGGGGTGAGTCCTGGCTGGGCAGCTCTGCCCCGGGCGCCCACAGCCCACCGTGCACTGGGAGCTGCCAGAGGCCCCCAGTATGGAGGCCATAGGCCCGGGAAGGGGGGGGCTCCTCCCACTATGGACGGCTCCCCCAGCCCGCCTGGTGTGCGGTACCTTCACGGCCCAGACTGACTGGTCGAGCGGGTGGAAGAGCTTGAAGCAGAAGCCGTCTTTCTTGGAGGGGCGCTCGAGCAGCTGGCAGCAGTGCAGCAGGACGGTGCCCACCCAGTGGCCCACCTTGGGGGTCTTGTAGATGAGCAGCACCCCCGGCTTCAGCACGCACCACAGCTTTGTCCAGCTCTTCAGGGTGCCCCGGATCTGCACGGGGGCGGGAGGTCGTGGGGCCTTAGCCGCCGGCCCACGCAGCCTCCAGCCAGAGGCGGGATGGTCTCCTAACACCCACTCCCGGGGGGGGCCTGCTGTGACCCAGGCAGGGCCTAGCACTCCCCAGAGCGCCAGGGCATGAGTTCAAAGCCCCAGGAACAAACAGAGCTCAGAGCCACCCAGCCTGTGACTCCCTTTTGGAGAATATTTTTCTTCTTTGTGCCAGTTCTGGGGCTTGAACTCAGGGCCTGGGCGCTGCTTCTTAGCTTTTTCATTCAAGGCTGGTTGTTCTACTCGAGCCACAGCTTTGCTTCCAGCTTTTTTGGTGGTTAATTGGAGATACAAGCCCCATAGGCTTTCCTGCTGGCTTTGCAGTGTGATCCTCAGATCTCCGCCTGAGTAGCTGGGATTACAGGTGTGAGCCATGGTGTCTGGCTCACTGGCCATGTCTAATTTCTTGTGTCTTTCCTTGGTACGTTTTCCTTCACAACTTTGAGGGAGGGGGTCCCACAGAGGCTGGGCTCCCCTAAACTCGACTCACTTTTTTCTCAGCCGGCAAGGGCTGGATCCTTTAACCTCCACTGTGCAGAGAGGGACCCTGAGGCTCAGAGGCTGACTTGGCCTGACTCCAACCCTCGGTCCTCCCCTGGGAAGCCAGGGGACCCCTCCCTCCTTCCCCAGGACGCTAAGACCCCAGCCAGCAAACCAGGACACCCAGGCGTAATGGGGAGGGAGGAGAGGGGGGCCCATGCTTCTAGCAAGGAGAGGAGGACACAGACGCGGACGGCCCTGTGACCAGAGGCAGGAACGCAGTGGGGCTGCGGACGCCCGCGGGAGCAGCAGAGCCTTGGGAGGGGTGGATTTTGTACTGAGGCCACCTGTCACCACAAGCCCCAGGACACTGACGGGCTTGCCGTGAGAAGCCCTGGCAGCGCCCGTACCTTCAGGCTGTCGGCCATGATGACCACGCTGCGGTCGGTCAGGGCGCTGAACAGCTGCCTTGTAGCCCTCTTCTTCTCCTGCCGGTAGCTCTCTTTCTGCGCCTGCATCCGGGGTGTGGGCCCGGGTCACGGGAGAGCCCCCAGTGACCCCAAATCCTCCCATCACCCGGTTGGCGAGAGGAGAGGCGGGGGGGGGTGGAGGGGGTCAGCCACCCAACACGGCCGTGGACCCGCCCATCCCGGGGCTCACCTTGAGGACCTCCTTCTTGGAGACCCTGGCTGTCGGGGACACACACTCCTTGTGAGACCCGGTGTGCACCCTGTGCTCCGCCTGCAGGAGAGGGAGGCGTAGGTTGTGGCACCGCCTGGGGCCTGCTGGAGACCAAGGAGTCAGCAGAAAGTGCTGCCCAGCCCCGCTGCCCTGTGCTGCCCGCCCTTGCTGCGTGCCGTGGGAGGGGGTGGGGCAGCAGGGGGCTGAGGGCAGCCGAGGCTGTGGAGGTAGAGGGGCCCTGAGCCACTCCGTGTCACCCCGCTGCACCTGCCAGGCTTGGCCTGGCACTGGTCACGTGAGTGGTCAGGGGGGAGGGACGGGACAAGGCCACGGGGAGGGGGAGAAGTGTGACTGACGTGGCCCAGAGCTCATTAGCTGCCACAGCACAGGCCATCGTTAGTCTGTACAGGAGACCACTACGACACAGAGAGGTTCAGATGCTTGCCCAAGGTCACATAGCCCCCATGAAGCCTTGCTGGAGTGGAGGCCACACTTGAGAGTCGTCAATTAGAACATTCCAGATCACATGAAGGGGCCCGGGAGGGAGGGTCTGGGGCTTCACCTGCGAGGGGGTCTTTGGGAGCCAGAGCTGAGTGAGGACCGTGGCCACGGGGCTGCCCTCTGAGGGCCAGCGGCCAGCAGACGGCCTCGTGTCCTCTCCCGAGGGCTCCGTGCGGTGCTCAGCGTCCTCAGCACGGCTCCCAGGGGCTCTGGGGCTCTGTGAGAGGTGCTCAGCGTCCTCAGCGCGGGCCGGACCCATGCCTGGGCCCTGGCAAAGCTCGCCCCGCCCCGCCCCGCCCCTGCCCCGCCCTGCGCTGAGCACCCAGCCCACCTGCAGGATCCCGGGGAAGGGGGGCGCTTCAGCCTCTCAGGAACCTTGCTCCCTACAGAAATAACTGGCAAAATGGAGTTGAGAATGGCTGGACCTGATCCTGGTCCTGGATTCAGAATATATAAAGAACCCTGACAAAACAGCAACAGAAAGACAACTCAACCAAAAGCTGGAGGAGGGCCTGAAGAGATGTTCCCCCAAAGGGAGCTGCAAATGGGTGGTAAGCGTCGGAGATGCAAACCACACTGCAGTGTGGGGCCTCTGGGCGTCTCTCCAGGACCGCTATGCTAACTTCAGAAAACAAAATAGGTGTGCATGAAGCCACGGGTTCGATTCCTCAGTACCGCATACACAGAAAAAGTTCAAGTGGTAGAGCGCTCTCGCCTTGAACTGAAGACCTCAGGGACAGCGCCCAGGCCCAGAGATCAAGAACCACAAGCCACAAAACAAACACAAAGTGGGCTGGGGAGTTGGGGCTGTGGGGAGTCGGGGGCTGTGGGGAGTCGGGGGCTGTGGGGGAGTCGGGGATTGTGGGGAAGTGGGGGTTGTGGGGGAGTGGGG